ATGCGATGAATTCGGCTGCAGTAGAAGACTTCGCCACCACAGATTGTCGCTTGCAGATCCAGTGTACTGTGCATCCATACACTTGGACAAGAACTCCAGAGATCGATTTTCTGTCGGTGATGTTGTTCGCCCAGTCTGCATCAGTGAACGCTTTGATTCTGGGAACTTGACTGTTGCGGCGATAAGTAAGTGCTGCTGATCTTGTTCCCCAGACATAGCGTAGAATTTTCTTCACAGCATTCCAGTGATTCACAGTGGGTTTTGCAGCTCGTGCGGCGACTTGGTTGACTGCGTACGCAATATCCGGCCTTGTTACTCGGCTGAGGTACAAGAGAGCACCTACCGCTTGTTTGTAAGGAACTTTGGTGGCAAGAGCATCTTTTTCTTCGCCAGGGTATAGTATAGTGCTCTGATCCATAGGAATTTCCCAAGTACGGCAATTGTCCATGGCGAAACGCTCACAAACTTCAGTAGCATACTGTTCTTGGTCGATAGTCATCACACCAGAGTCCATGTCCCGGGTTATACGCATTCCAAGGAACCACGATAATTCTCCCAAGTCCTTGATTTGATATTTCTCATCCAACGCATTCATCAGTTGCTGCATATCTTTGATGTTCTTGTAGCCCACCAGGATGTCATCAACATAGACAAGTACGATCAGGACTTTGGTTTGGTGCTTGTAGACACACGGATCCTCTCGAGTGGGTTCTAAACCAGTAGACCGCAGAAAGTTGTCGAGTTCGATGTACCACTCTCGACCGGCTTGTTTTAATCCATACAGAGCTTTACGAAGTAGCCAAACCTGACCAGGTTCTCCTTCTTCGAAGCCTCGGGGCTGTTTAACATAAATCATTTCACGAAGGTTAGCTTTAACAAATGCAGTTGGGACATCACCTTGTCTGATGAGGAGTCCGGAGTGGTTACACTCGGCCAGGAAGACCCGAATTGATACGAGTCGCGCAACAGGCGCGTACGTATCAATATAGTCAATCATGTAAATTTCTTGGAAGCCTTGCGCGCAGATCCGGGCCCGTAGTCGTTCGACTTTGCCATCTGCATGGCGCTTAACTTTGAAGCTCATGGTTGTCCCGATAACATGAGCACCTGCAGGGGGAGTCACCAGTGTGAACGTCCCATTTGATCGTAGTGCTTCGATCTCAACCCGTATGGCTTTTTCCCATTCTGACCACTGAGGGGAGCTCCTCGCTTCCTCCAATGTCAGTGGTTCTTGGATCACTTCAGTCATGGCTAAGAAAGCGGCTCCAATGTTACGGCTGGATATCCGCTCCGATCGTCTCCGCCTGGTTAAATCTGTAGCCCCATTGAGTTCCTCGACAAGTGCCGTTGTAAATGAAGCTGCGTTTCTTTCCCGTGTTCGGTCGTCCTCGGTGGGAGCGGATGTCCTATCCGTTGGTCTTCCCCGCATTGAGTCGCTTCTGGTTGTGGTTGAGAATTGTTCTTGTAGAGGGATCATTGGAACACCTGGGCACTGTGCTCTTGGGTGCTTCAATGGTGAACCCAGGAACTTAACGTCGCACGTATTCACAATTTTTGCTCCACCTTCTCTCATGTATACAAAGTAACCCTTGCGTTGTTCATCATGCCCCACGAATGCTCCCCTTTGGCCTACTGGTCTAAACTTGAACAAAGTGCTGCGCTTTCCGGGCGGTAGAAGCACTGTAACACTTTCTCCAAAGGTGTGAGAGTCCGACAGGTCCGGCGTTTTTCCATGGTACTTAGCGTAGGGCGTTGTCGATGGTTCGCTGCGTGAAGTTACTCGGTTTCTCATGTATGCAGCAGCTCGGACAGCGTACTCCCATAGGTTGTGGGGTAAACCAGCTTGGATCAGCATTGTCCGTGCCGCCTCGATGAGTGTTCGGTTTGTTCTTTCCACTACACCATTCTGGTAGTGTACGTCGGGCTCAGAAAATTGTCGTTCCAGGCCTGCTTCATCACATAGAGTATTAAACTCCTCGTTGATGAATTCCCCTCCATTGTCCGTTCGCAGAACACGGATTTTCCTTGAGTCTTCACGGTTTTTAATCATAAGTAGGAACTTTCTAAAGCACCCCACAGCTTCATCCTTCGTCTTGATAAAGTACACGTGAGTATAGTTCAGCCACTTGATTACCAGCATGTAGTGGTTCCCATGGATGCTCCGCTGGTACTTCCCTGCAAGGTCTGCATGGCAAACTAGATCCTTCTCTTCTTGAGATCTTGTACTTCGACGAGGTGCCGGGCGACTGGATATCTTGCCGAGTGTACAGTCCTCACATGGATGGTCCGGGATTTTTCTGGAGCCGATAATCTTCAGACCTTTTACTATCCCACTCCTTTCAAGCTCAATAACGCCTTGGTAGTGTAAATGCCCAAGTCGTCTGTGCCAGTCCTCAAGTGAGTTTGGAGGGATCATGGTCGCTGAAGACGTCGTTGCCGCTGCCACACCATCTTCTGCACTCAATCTGGTATTACTTTCTTCTTGGTAGCCATAAACTCCATTAATCATCTTTCCTCGGAGGAGCGGAGGGCCGTAGACTACACACCCATCTTCAGTAAAGTCACACTTGAAGCCACGCTGAGATAGTTTTGATACTGAAAGTAGGGTTTTCTCTAGACCTGGTATAAACACTACTTCGTCAATTTTGGTCCCTTTGGTCCCAAAATTGACCAGTGAGCCCCATCGATCACCTTTCATAACATGCCCATCCGGAAGTTCCACCTCGTGAGTTGCACATTGCTGTAGATTAGTCAGCAGCTTCGCTTCCCCAGTCATGTGGTGAGAAGCTGCCGAGTCAATGTACAGCGGAAACTTTTGCGTTCCAGGGTCAAACGGAAATAACTCGGTGTCCGTCAACACCCCGTGTCTTCAATCATGGCTTTCGTTTTGTTCGCCTTGAACTTCACGGTTACGGGCTTGCTGGGCGATATGACGATCGTGGTAGTTTGTCGTGTGACCTCGTTCATTGCATGTCTTGCACAAAGCGTCTGAGAAGTCCCAACGGGGCCTAGGGGCCTTGGCAGTAGTAGCTGAAGCGCTTCCGCTAATTCGGGGTTTCTTGTCACTGCCATCTCGGCTAAAATCTTCGCTGCGTCGCTTGTTAGGGTTAATTTTTCCATCACTTTTGGCTAGTTTGGTCAGTAGGACCACAGCGCTTTCAAGTTCTCCGGTAGCGTCCTCCGCTTCTTGATCAAGTTTGGCTTCCAGATCAACACGGAAGCGAGGGTAAGCATGGTTGATGAAAGTACTCAGCGCCTGCTGCTCAGTATACGAGTTGACTTTGCCACGATTCAGCCCTGCTGCAATCTGGGAGAGTCGGTGAGCATAGGTAGCATATGTTTCCTGGGGAAATTTGCGTGTGTTCGCCAGAGTGACTGCAATCGTCTGCACCGGGAGCTTACACCGGAAGTTCTCCATGAACTTGTTCGCGAGGTCACAGAAAGAGTCCTTCGGAAGGTTAGAGCTGTTGCGGTAGTACCAGGTACCAGCTTCACTCGTGAGTCGGGAGGCAAGAACACCGCACTTCACCGTTTCCGGCCACTTTCGCTCCGTGAGTGTCTCAGCCAGGTGTATCTGTACTTTGAGTCGCTCCAACCAATCATAGGCGCCAGGGTCTATGAATCCATCCTTGGTCGATCCATCAAAGGGCTCAATAGTGATCAATTTGAGGTCTATCTTCATTCCTGTCGCGCGTGTCCCCACTGCTCCACTTTTAGTCGTTGGAGCAGGCTCATCTTCCACTTGTTCAAAGTCTGAATCATCGTTTGAAGACATGGTAGAAGGGAAGTCGAGTCTTGCGGCTGTTAACCTGTTAGATTCCAGGAAAATCAAAGAATGAATTAGATGATTTATCTGCGCGAGCCAGAGGGAGTGGGTACATATCTAGCGTCATCAGAGGCACTACCGTGATTTCTCCTCTTTGACTCATCAGTTGAGTTGACCAGTTACAACAGCTTACACGCAAGAAAGCGTGAGCCCTGGCGGAACACATTGTTCGCCGGTAGGAGAGCGGCTCGAAGCTGCTCACACAGCTGAGCCCAGGATGCAAAGCATCCAGGAGATGTCGTCTCCCTGGTGTATGCCCAGTGCTTGGCATGCCCGCCAAGGTTGGACAGGGCAAACACCACCCGAATTGGCTCGTCCGAGATGAGACCCGCCTTCATGGCGATCTCCACCTCACGGACCCAGAAGTGAAGGTTCTCTCCTTCCTTCCCCTCAAACGCGGGGACCTTCCGCCATACCGGCTTAGGCCTGGTTGCCTGGGGAGCGGCCATCGAGGCCTCCAAACTCCCGCGGACGTGAGCGATGAGACCACGCTCGTAGGTCTTAAACACAGTCACGCGTTCTTGTTGCTCGGCAGGCGTCGCCGCCGCAAAGCTGCGAAGGCCATCTTGTCCAAAGATGCCTCCCATCTTCCGAACAGACTCGTACTGTGAGTCGTTCAAGCGAGGAAACTCGCTTCGGTCCATCTTAGCTCAACGTTGAGCGCACAGAGGATTCAGGTAGTTCAATCTACCCGCGATGGTGCTAGATTGACTACGGGTGCTACCAAGTGTGACGGGGTCACACAGCACCATGCACAGAGAAAGTGCTTAAGGATATTAACTACCCGAGTGAACGCTAGTCCACGTGTTCTCGGCCTCAAAGGGAAATGTTTGCGACTTAGAAGGGTAGATGTAAGACTGATGTACTTATAAGTAAGATAAGCTTGGGTCTCATACAAACTAGAGGTTACCTATATTGGAGCTAAGTAGTCATGGCTCCGAGAGCACCTGGTACCGTGTACCAGGTGCTCACAAGAGTGACGGGTCACTCTTCATGTAACATGGGGCACACTGGATTGTACCTCGTTACATATATTTAGTTAGTAGTAGTGCCGTTAGTAGGAGCCCGGAGGTGATCTGGGCTCACTTTTGCTTTCCTTTGTTCTCGACAACCTCGAAACCTCGACGACATTGGGAGCTCGCCTTCTGGGACCTAGCGAGGCTCGAAAGTTAACATGGCTCATACAACCCTATACGCTCTATTTAAACCTGATGTCCTCGGGACGGTAGGCTACACTTACGGGAAGACATCTTCTGAGGAAAGTCAAGGTGTGTACGACATCGATCGAGTGGCTAGCGGACGATGGGAGGGCCTCGGCACCTTCACAGTCCAGCGATGAGCCCCGCAGGTGGAACAAAGGGGGGGTGACGAAAGAGGAAGCCTTGAGTGGGATAGGAACCTATGTCGGCAGTGCCTTATGCATCGCTCGGGTTCCGCACGGAAAGCCCAAGGTCTGGGATTACGGGGTGGTGGTCGGTTACACTTGGAATAACCTCGCAAATTCAGATTCTCTACAGGCTACGTTCGCGGATGGAACCAGCGACCTGGCTTTTAGCAGTGAAGAGCTCCAAGACTTGGTCCTGGAGACATACGCTCTCCGTCCGTGCTACCTACGGGGAACAACGGACGTCATGCCGGCAAAGATGCGGGCTCTTCACATCGCTGCCCATGGCCACTTCAATGGAATCGGTCAGTCAGCACGCAGAAACACGGGAATTGTGCTGAAGAAACGTTTGATGAATCCTGTGGATGAGAGTCAAATGGTGCCAGTCTACAACATCGAGACTACCCAGGTCGAAATTTTAAAGATATAACACATTCTAAGCTTTGTATACTATCATGAAGGCAAGCGGCGACCACCACAAGGACTGGTTGTACCGGGCTCCCTCTTTGGCTCGGCCGCCTCGGAGGCCAACACGGGTGGTTCGAGTACGCACGACTGTAGGCTGACCGATGGTGAGAGGCTAGAACAGTTATACGACTCAGAAGATGACCTTGCCACACCTGAACCTCTTCAGAAGGAACGTTCAGTTGGTTATCGTCCCAAACGGAACCGCGAAGAATCCCCACAACTGTCCACAGAGACCAGAGGTGAATCACGACTCTTTGCCTTAAGGCAGAGACTCGGTGATGATGCGGAGATGGTCCAAGAAATCGATCGGTTGATCGCGTTTCGCCAGGCAAACCTCAGCAAAGAAAGCTCAACGTCAGTGGTGAGCGCAGCAGCGAGCGATTCCAAGTCACAGCTCAGACCAGGCCGGCATCCAAGAGCTGTACACGGTGAAATGGTAAATGGTACGTATTGATGCTTGGATGATTAGCTGTTTGTAGGAACAATGCAGTCGCGGGCCAAGGGCTTTGATTATCTGCCACACCCGGCCTTTGCGCGAGGAATCTTTGCGTGGGACTTTGGATATCGTGGGCTTTCTACTCGACGTTTTGCGCCAATGGATGTGGAAGTGGAGCGTGACCATCTTAAGCGTTACGACATGACAGATTTCCCGCGAAAAGCAAGACTCTCGAGCCACAAGAACCAAAAGATCTCGCCGACGTTGTACCGGCGCTGGAAGTGCTGTCCCTGTTGGTGAATGAGATGTACACACAGGTTGTAGCAGATTTGGTCGACGCGACCATTTCTGCTGACTCTGCGTAAAACGAAAACTATGCAGGGGGCTGAAGCGGTCCCGAAGTTAGTGGCTTGAATTGATGACCGTTTTGAAACCTTTCGATCACAATTGGCTCAAGGAAATACGGCAGCCCCAGAGAGTATACGAGCCGACTTCCAGTTCAATCACGAGTCCTTTACACGAGTGGATTAACGTGTCACCAGCCTCAAGGTGGAAGCAGCTTTAAAGTTGTCACCGCCCCCCCCCACAAAACCATCGTCTCGCATGAAGAAAGCCAAAGCGCGCACAACAAACAGCGGTGCCCGACAAGAACGCCGAGTTCCCGTTCCCCCGGAGGTGGTGGCAGCGCTTCCGATTCGTTAAGGCAAGAAGCTGTGCATCAAGGTTTTGTCTATCGAAGGATGCCCTGGTAAGGAGACACTTGTGTGTTCGACTACCGAGGACACTTCGTACCTGCTAAATTACCAGTTACTGTGAGAAACTTCATTAGTAAAAGCTACGGGGGGGGGCTTCGGGACACAAATGCACCAGCGACAGGCAGCCAAGCGGAGGTGTGAAGGAGCCATGAGGTGGGCCGGATGGCAACCATCCTCAGGCCGATTGAGCAGCCTCCACTAATAGTGAAGTCCGGCTCGGGCGATACAAGGACAGGGAGCTGCAGATTAGCGCAGGACAAACTGTCAAATACCCATGCAGTGAGGCCAAAGAAAAGCACATACACGGATGGATTGATGCCACATAGCGATTGCATCCATGTCGAGGGGCTCAACGGGACGCAAGCTCACGAAGTTGGCTCTGGTCTGTCGCTGCATCAGGGGTGCAGTCAGGTGAGTCGGCCCTACGTGACTCAGGTTCACGCTTTGGGCGTTGTTTTGCCGCTGCATAAGAATTGCAGGTCGGTCGGTTGGCCCAACGAGGATTTAATCCCCAAAGGGCGGGATGTTGTACCGTTGCAAAGTAATTGCAAGTCGGTTCAGGGGTCTAATGAATCTCGTTGCCACGGCGTGGGCAGAAAGGAGCGTGGACATGAGATGCGGACTGTCGTGTCAGGGGAACTTCAAATATTCCTGACGGGTCAACAGCGCCGCTACACGCTGACGCTCCTAGCAAGTGAGAGAATGTTAGGCCTTCAGCGCCACCGCGCGCGAGATGGTCTCGCCTCGATCATGAAGCACTATGGAGTGGTTCCACCAACGGATTCGCCGGCTTGGGTTGTGAAGAATGGAGCGAGGTTATACCAGATTGACCGGACCAAGCAGTATGCGTACAGCGCGCTACTTCGACGGTAGAAAATGGGCCTCTCGACCTTATTCGATTGGTTTGCGGAGAAACCTCCCAATATCCACGTCCAAACAAGACCCTGACTGTTTTCGATCATATTCCTTGTTGGAGAACATACACGTACAAAGACGAATGGCGCGACATTGTGACGCATTTCGTTAGGCCAAAATTATCTACAACGTTTTCAAGCCAAACCCGGCCTCCACATAATTATGGCTCTGCATTACGAGCTCTTAATGCAGTTATCAAGAGCCTGAGGAAAGGTCAAGATGAAGACCGATACCTGATTATCGAAATTAATTTACTGCCTTCGCTCGAAGGAGTTACATGTAGTCCATTTGGGGCAGTGCATAAAGGAGATGCAGACATCACGGTGGGTGCAAGGATGATCCACGATCTGTCATGTCCAAAAGGCGACTTAGTTAATGATCATGCTCAGGAGGGCACTCAGATCCTGGTTACCTATGACGGTGCAGCTGTACTGGCTCGGCGGGTGCTAGATGTGGATCACAACCTTCCTGAAGCGGCTCGAATATCCACTGGAGACGTTGCAAGTGCATTTCGCAATATTCCAGTGGCTGTAGAATCAGCAGGTCGGTTTTCCGGGACAACTCCAAAGCTCGGTATATTAATTATCGATTTGGCGTGCCCGTTTGGGTGGTCAGATGCTCCAAGACATTACTGGGCGGCAGGTGGAGCGACCGTGCATTTACACAAGAACACCGCTCCACTGTGGACAGACCGGCATTTAGCCGGCGCCGATAAGTTTGACGGCAAGGCGTGGTGCGATGGCCACATTTGTATTGAGCCTGACATCGGCTCCCGGTTGGCGGAGGCGAGCATTTCTCTGAGATCAGCGATGGTGATCTCGCCGATCTCAGAGAAATGCTCGTCTCCGCCAGTTCTTGACCCGAACGCGTGCAATAAAGAGAAATTCACGCCGTGGTTTACGGAAGGGAAGACTCTTCGAAATCAGTGGAACCTTAATGTGATGACTCTTTTGATGCCCGAGGACAAAATTGCAAAAGCTCTTCACAGGATAAATGGCCTTCAATTGGCTCAACTGGCGTCCAAAATAAATTACTGGGCAGCCTACGGCGCGTGGCCACGTGTGTTCGTACGGCTACTCAATTTTTTCAGCGGATCGCGTCATTAGCTCGGACAACCACTCGTTATCGTCCTTCGTTAATATCTGAAGAAGCACGCGACGATCTGAGATGGTTCGCAGCAATTCTTTGTTTGGGACGGTTGAATGCGGTGCTATTCATATGGACGCTAGTGACCGTGGCTTGTGTGCGCTCTGGCCAGCTCGAAAAGAATATATTTAACTGATATTGGATGCGGAAGAACTACAACAAATCGCACATTGCAACGAGTCGACATCGGACGAGTTCAGCATAAACATTCGAGAGCTCATGAGTGCTGTATCTGCGGCAATTGGGTGGGTCTCTCAGTGGGCGCAGTCGGGTCAGAACGATTAGGCTCATACACGATTTTGGATCCATAACACTTCAGCTGTGGCATGGGCAAATCGCCGATCATCTCGAAATTCATTTTCTCAAATGCTGCTCCGGCTCATTGGCTTTCTCGAAGTACGCTACAACTTTTACTCGTCTGCAGCTCATATTCCCGGAGTCGAGAACATCATGGCAGATGCAGGGAGCCGGGTGTGACAATCGGAAGCGATGGCACGTTCGTTTGCTGACATGTCGTTTGCGTGGACACAGGTGGAGATACCATCGAGCTTAAGACAACTCTCCAAACTTGGGGTGCACTGCTCCGAGCTAAAGCTTTACCTGATACATCTCGCATACAGTATCGTCGCTCTTGGGGTCAGTGGCTCAAATGGTGTAGCTTCATGGGTTAGAAGTTTTGGGCGCCTTGAAACGGAACCTTTATGTGATGCCAAGAGCAGCGCCGGGCTCAAGTTTTCAAGTTTCACCTTACGTACTACGAATATTAAGTACTTCATCGAGAATTGGCTAGCTCATCCACAGATGATGGACTGGATGAAGCAGCGTCAGTGCTCAATTCTTACCAGTGAAACCTACCGATGTGTGCCCATAGGATACCGATTGACTATCGAAATGATGTACGACCCAATATCGGAGTTGTACCTATGTTTTCACATGCTATAAGCTACATCGTATATTTAAATACCACAAAGAAATAAGGTTAAAGTTGTACAGTAACTACCCAAACGTAGTCTTGTCATGGGTCAAACTATGATAAAATTATGCAGGAGTTGGCTCAAATTGCTAGTGATTCTAAGAATAAAATACGGTATTTTGTGCTACTAGTGCAGTGCACATGAGCTCTAATAACCATCTCCAGCACATATTCAGCATCATGTGGTGTTGCCAATCCCACGTGAACTCTAGCTGCAAATGTAGTTAGGAAGCTCTTACAACAATACGTCTGCTAAGATAGCAAACGATCGTTCGGGCGGACCTGAAGACCCCAGTTCTGCCCTTGCACCGGGTCAGACTGAATCTTGTAAGCTACTTATATAGGCCAACCAGTAAAAATAAGAACACGATACTAGCACGAGCAAAGCAAATAGGTGTTATGAATCCTCGTGGTCCCAACAGCGGAAGGGTACCAGGGACGGGTAGCCTTTTACGACGGCACCGAGTGCTCAACACTCAGTTGGAAAAATAAAAGGGGTGTCATACAAGCACGCCCAGTCGTGTAATAGGCAACAATAAGTCGTCACGTAAACCCTCCTGATAGTAATCGGCCAATACACATACAGTCTCTTGGCCTTGCCGGATGAACCCTCGCTACAGAGCTTCCAGTCCACCGACAGGCATACCACACTCAAACAAGCTTGACCAGACGCTTACCTTGAAGCCGGACATCGCTCTGTGTGCTAAAGTAGAAATACTGTTATGTATTTATATTTG